CTTACTGTCCACCAGATGGCAGTGTTGGTTAGCAGTAGCTCTGAAAAACACAAGATTGCACCTGGGATATAACAAATAATCTGAGGATGCCCTTTATACTTTTTTAAACAGCCACGCCATCCACTCCCAGAGATCTTTGATTAGACTACACTGGGATTATGACACAATATAATGATATTAAAATTAAACACTTTTGATCTTTACATAACCTACGATTTAGAATGAATCAATAAATAATAGCTACTATTAGTTTACACCCTGACGCTTCAAATAGGTTATAAACACCCTGTGGCAGACTGCCTCATACAAGTATTCATCTTAATCATTTTCAAATGAGATTCTAACCACAACTGCTCACAAATGAAGGGTTATCATTAAAAATAGACATGAAGCTTTTTTCTATTGAGTGTAAAAACAAACTCAAGTCTCACCAGATGGTCTCTGAATAAAGAAAAACTAGGCCAGTCGTGGTAGCTCATGCCTGTAATCCCAGCACTTTTGGAGGTTGAGGCAGGAGGATCACTTCAGGCCAGGAGTTCAAGACCAGCCTGGGCAACACAGTGAAATTCCAACTCTACAAAACATTAAAAAATTAGGTGTGGTGGCACACCTGTAGTCCTTGGTACTCAGGAGGCTGAGGTGGGAGGATCCCTTGAGCCCAGGAGATCAACGCTGCTGTGAACCATGATTGACACACTGTACTTCAGCCTGGGCAACAGTGAGACCATCTCAAAAAATAAAATGATCTTTAAAAAAAAAAAAAGAAAAACCAACACTTTTTTTCTCTCAACTCACTCTCCATACTTCACTTCCAACACCAGGTGTGAGGTTTTTTTCCCACACATCTATTCTCTGGTAGGTGATCCTACAAATTTAACTCAACTCTGGCTCTACCTACCTGGAGGTTAAGGGCTCGGTCCCACAAGACTACCCTTAATTTAGACCCAACCACAAGTCCCAGGTTCGACCTGTTTTTCTGACCAACCAGCTGTAAATCAGAGGTTCCCACAACACTCCCCACTGCTGCCTAACCCCTTTGGATTCAATCCTTTGCTTGAATGGCTTAGGGAAACATCTTATTTACATTTAACTATTTATTATGAAAGTACTTATCAGAACAGCTAGATGGGAGACAGACATGGGGCAGGGGCATGGGGTTTCTGTGTCGTCTCAGGGCACACCAGCTCCACATGTTCAGTAACATGGACGCTCCAAGAATCATGTAGTTCAGGGATTTTTATGGAGGCTTAATCATATGGGCATAATCAATTGTAACTCAATCTGCAGCCTCTCTCCCCTTCCAAAGGGTGGGGTGGGGCTGAAAGTTTTAAGCTTCTAATCATGGGCTGGTCTTTCTGGTGACCAGTCCCTATCCAGGGGCCCATGGAGAGGCATAACATTAGAACAAAAGTTCCTACCAGCCAGGAAATTACAGGAGACTTGGGAGCTCTGTGCCAGGAACCAGAGACAAACAGCAAAATATTTATTTCTTCTTATAAATCACAATATCATAGTCTCCAATGCCTCCTTGGGAAGCAGAAAGTAGCAGAGGTACAGTGGTATATTGTGTACATGAAGATCAGGTCCCTTGGCACAGAAGGACAACTAGACAACGCAGTTCCAGTGTGGCCCAGTAAACTCACTACAGTCTAAATGGTGATCAGGCCTTACCTTCCTCTGGGCTCTGCTCCCAGTCTGGTACATCACTTCATGGAACTCACAAGCTTCTGGACTCAGGTGGTTTAGATATAAAATAACATTGCTTAAAGACCCTAAAAATTGTAACATCCAAAACATATTAAAACAAAAAGGTACCCACAGACTTATAAAAGCAGAAAGATAATGTACTTACCATTTTGAATTGGCTTATCTACAGACAAAACATTTTCATTATTCCAATAACCTTGATAAAACACCTGGGATAGACATGGTTTTGAAGGAACTGATGATGTTGAAAACGTAATTCCTCCTATCCCCCTTTCTCTTAAATATGGTTCCTAGGTAGTATGCATTACCTGTGGTTAAGCTAAAATTGTTCCTACACACTATTTATGAAAGAAATGTTTCTTTTGTTGTTAGTCTGTGAAAAGCTGACAATGAGAACTCGGAGGTAGGCTTTCTGGGCTGAGTGAGACAGGGTCTTGCTTTATTGCCCAGACTGGAGTACAGTGGCATGGTAATGGCTCACTGCAGCCTTGAACTCATGGGCTCAAGTGATCCTCCCACCTCAGCCTCCCAAGTAGCTAGGACTCAGCATGTACCACCATACCTCATTTTTTTTTTTTTTAAATGTAGACACAGGGTCTCACTACGTTGCCCATCCTGGTCTTGAACTCCTGTGATCAAGCAATCCTCCCATCTCAGCCTCCCAAATTGCTAGGATTATAGGCACAAACCACCACACCTGGCCTTTCTGGACTTTTTAACGTCCAGTTATCTGGATTCAACAGCAAGAGGCCACTAAACTTCCTACATATGCAGAATGCATTATTTAGAGGAAGTAAGCTATTCTCACATCCCTTTCAGTGCCTTATGCTAGACAAAGACACACCACCACCTAACAACCCCAACCAGGAGAGGGGCAATGAGTGTAGAGGCTAGGTCTTCAGAATGAATGAAACAAGCGGGGTTTTGGGGTTTGATTCGGTATCTACTCTATAGAAGACATGGTGCTAGGATGCCGCAGAAGTGCCACATACTCCTGGTCAAAAGGCACATCAACTCTAGTAACAGATTCTAACACAAAACTTCAGAACCAGATTAAACGAGCGTATTAAATACTGGAAGTTTCAAAGACAACAGAAAAGTAAAATTAGTCCAAATAAATATGTTAGTGGAAATGCAAAGAAATGGGCCCTAGAAAATATATATCAAATTGGTAAAAGTAATGGCAGGGAAGGGCCCTGGAAGGAGGTGGTAGTGGTAGAAAAGGGGGGTAAGTTAGGAAACTGTTCATGTCACAGCCAGGCGCAGTGGCTCACGCCTGTAATCCCAACACTTTGGGAGGCCAAGGCAGGCAGATCACGAGGTCAGTTCAAGATCAGCCTGGCCAACATAGTGAAACCCCAGCTCTACTAAAAATGCAAAAATTAGCCTGTTGTGGTGACGCATGCCTGTAGTCTCAGGTACTCGGGAGGCTGAGGCAGAAGAATCGCTTGAACCCGGGAGGCAAAGGTTGCAGGGAGCAGAGACCGCGCCTTTGCACTCCAGCCTGGGCAACAGTGAGACTCCATCTCAAAAAAAAAAAAAAAAGTGTGTGTGTTAAATGTAACAGAGCTCATCTTTTAGAGAGAAATGGCTAGGCTAATAGAGTCATGTGCCATATAACATTTCAGTCAATGATGGGCCACATGACACATTATAAGACCATACCTTTATGTTTAGATACACAAATACCATTGTGTTACAACTGCCTAGTCAGTATAGTCCCATGCTGTACAGGTTTGTAGCCCAGGAGCAAGACTATACAGCCTAGGTGTGGAGTGGGCTCTGCCGCCTAGGTTTGTGTAAGTCCACTTTAGGATGCTCACATGAAAAAATCACCTAACAACATTTTCCTCAGAACACATCCTTGTTAAGCAACACATGACTTATTTTTGGCATAAGCTTTTAATATCAAGTTTTATGAGCAAGGTTAGGCAAGTAAAATGTTCTGAGTCTAGGACATTAAAACACTGAGATGTTTAGCAGAACAGAAATTATAGTCAAACAGAAAAAATTATAATAAAAAAACACTGAGATAAACAAACTAACTTTTTTTTTTTTTTTTGAGACAGAGTCCAGCCCTGTTGCTCAGGCTGGAGTGCAGTGGCGTGATCTTGGCTCACTGCAACCTCCGCCTCCCTGGTTCAAGTGATTCTCCTGCCTCAGCCTCCTAAGTAGCTGGGATTACAGACACATGCCACCACACCCGGCTAATCTTTGTATTGTTAGTAAGAGACAGGGTTTGCCATATTGGTCAGGCTGGTCTCGAACTCCAGACTTCAGGTGATCCACCTGCCTCGGTGTCCCAAAGTGCTGGGATTACAAGCATGAGCCACTGTGCCCAGGAAATTAACGTAACTTTTAAGAGAGTATAGAGCTCAAAATAATTTAACAAGCTAGTTTATTTTTTGTTTCATCTGCAAGATGAGACAGGAAAAAATACGATTTCTTCATGGTCACTTCTACTGGTTTTTTTTTGAGACAGAATCTCACTGTAGTGTCCAGGTTGGAATGCAGTGGTGTGATGACAGCTCACTGCAGCCTCAACCTCCCAGGCTCAAGTCATCTTCCCACTTCTGCCTCTGGAGTAACCGCAACTACAGGCGCACCATCACTGCACCCAGCTAAAGTTTTTTTTGGGTACAGACAGGGTCTCACTATGTTGCCCAGGCTGGTCGCAAACTCTTGGGTTCAAGCGACCCTCCCATCTCAGCCTCCCAAAGTGTTGGGATTACAGGTATAAGCTACCACGCCTGGCCCTATTTCTACTAGTTTCATCACTGGATTTGTGAGCCTAGCCCAACTTCCTCAACCCAATTGTCCTCAGAGAAGGCAATGTATTTCTCACTTCTGTAATTCCACACAGCAAACCCAAGATTTCAACATGCCCGGTAGCTTGTACCCAAATGTTTTGCTTATATTCTCCTCTTCCCCTTCTTTCTCATGGAACATCATCCAGCTTGGCAGAGAGAATCCAAAGCAGCACTTCCCCACACTATGCTCTGACAGGGTGGCAGGTGCCCAAGGGACAGCTCCCTCCAGCCTAGAGCAGCCCTGAGCATTTTCCACGTGGTGGTCAGGAAAAAGGTTGGAAATAACACATTTAAACCTCAGGAACTTCTGTACTCTCTGTCACCCTAGTCGTAAGGGAAACGGACTACAAAACACTGAAGAAAAAAAAAAAACATCCTTGACACACAAAAGTAATCATCTAACCGCAACTGTTCAAAGTTTACAACGCAGAGAGAAGCCTCTCAGTGCCTTGCTTTTTAACTATCAACCACATTCAACAAAGGTATAAAACACAATTACTTTATTGATTTCTTACAATCAAATACTGCCAACTAGCATTACTTCCACTCTTGCATCATTAAAAACAAAGGGTATTTCCTCCTTGGTATTTTCAAATGATGCACTATACAATAAACAAAGTTAGAACTTAAAATGCACCCTGATTAATTATGTAAACTGGTAATTTGTTTAAAAAAAGCATAATAATTTGGTTCCTTTCTTCATAAAATGGAAATTTAAATATTTCTTCTGATAGTCTTGAGGTTATTATGAGTAGTGCAAAGTGTGGCACATATAGTTTCATCTAGAAGGGTGTGTATCTTACACACCTTATTTAAACAAACAAAATGTGCATTAACAAAATGCATACAGTCAATGCATGATAGAAAGCATGTTTCAAATATAAGGCAGCCCCTCCGGCCACCATATTATTTAGGTTTTGCATTATCATTTATGGCATTATAGATTAATTACACATAACTTTTATACATTTTAACCCTGAAGATAAGAAAAATAACTGTTGCTTGAAAGAAATTATTCCAGGTAGCCATTTGGTTTGTATCAGGAGAAACCGAACCTCCATGAGTTTAGTGTCTGCCAAGTCGGAATCATTAGCTCAAGTGAGTGAATGAGATATGCGGCGCATTTCACAGTGACTGTTTCCCAAGTCCTGGCAATGCCTCTGCTCCCACAGTCCACCAGATGAAGCATTTCTGGGATGACCCTTCTATGTGGTTTTCCCTTTTCATTTTTTTTTTTGCTGGATTAATGATTACTGTATTATTTCCTCTTTTCCCCTTTTCTGTGGCCTTCCATTTTAATTACTCATAAATCCTTTCAGAATATCCTCAGAGAGCTCCATAAGGGGAAGTTCTGGAGATGGAAAATCCAAGGGAGGAAGATTGGGGATTGGAATGTCCTTGGCTTTCCCGGTATTTGCTGCGAACTTCTGCCAGGTCGAGGAGGCTGTAGCAGTTTCTGAATGTGGTGGCAAGCTCCATAACTCTGATGTTTCTACAAAATCAGCATCTACATCCAGCTCCTTTTCTATTGGACCTTTTAGAAGTCTGGCCTTTTCAGCCTTTAGTTGTTTATTTTCTTTCCTTAATCTTTCATTCTCAGCCACAAGGAACTCCACGTGCCTCTTCAAATCTGCAATTTTGGTTGCCTGCTCCTCTATAATTGTTTTATCATCTTTTGGGGCTTTGCTTCCAATACATGGCTCTGCTGGCTCACTCTTTTGCTGAAGTAAATATAGTAGTGTGTCTGGATCCCTGTCAAAGATCCCCTGAATCTCAGGCAGGCATTTCTCTGTAGAAGGGCTGTACTTCTGAGAAAGGGGGCTCTGGCCCTCTGCATCCTCTGCAGAGGGTTTGTGAGATGCCTGAAGATGGGCAGCTACATCCTTGTCTGTGTTCTGCTGGGCTTTCAATCTTTCTTCACGTTGGGCCCTTTTCCATCTCTCTTGGATGAGGAGGAGCTGTTTCATATGGCTATCCCTTTGCAATTCCAGTGAAAGATGAGCCTATTACATAGAAGGAAAGGTAAAATTTGAAGAATTTTAACATTTTAAGTGTCTTAGTAATGTCCAACATACACTACTCCAAAATCCTCCTTTCTGAATAACCCAACAACACTTACAATTTACATACTATGTTTGCAAAAACACCATTCATTCAGAAAGTTAGAAGTCCTATTCCCAATCAATACACTAAATCAGATGTTTTCCTCAATGTGCCTGACCCCGTGTGTAATGGCATTTGTACTCAACTTAAAATTAGAAATCTTTCCTCTGTAGACATACTAATTCTACCAACAGCTAAAAAGAAAGTCAGCTTTATCAACAGTGTGTTTGGATAGTTCAAAGCATGCCTGTATCATGAGCAGATTCCATACTTTCAAAGGCAGTGAAAGGGACAGAACACAACTTTAAAGTTCCCTTGGTTCAGTTTGAGAAACTAGTGGCTCTCCCTGCCACTGATATACCTCACAGAAATGATCTCCTTAACTGATACTTTTACAATAAAAAGTTTTAAACAAGATATTTTATATGTATTTATTTTAGAAACAGGGTCCCTGTTGCCGAGGCTGAAGTGCAATGGTCCAGTCATAGCTCACTGCAGCCTTGAACTCAGGTGTTCAAGTGATCCTCCCACCTCAGCCTCCCAAGTAGCTAGAACTACAAGCATGTGCCACCATGCAGAGCTAATTTTTTAAAATTTTTGTAGAGATGGGGTCTCACTATGTTGCCCAGGCTGGTCTCGAACTCCTGGGCTCAAGTATGATCCCCCTGCCTTGGCCTCCCAAAGTGCTGGGATTATAGGCACGGGCCACCAGGCCCAGTCTTATGAATAAATGTATCTTGAAACACTTGGCAGGGCCTCCCCAAACACAGAAGACAATTTAAAGCAATTGGTGAAACAAATTTGAAAGTACCTGAACTGCTTAAGAACTGAAGCAAAGACAAGTGGGAGACGGGTCACATTTAAATTATCTTTGACAAGCAAAGGGTAGTCTGTTGGTTTCCTCTTGGCCAGGCCTGTTTACTGACTGTGAGCTAATGATCAAATAAGAGCTAACGATCAGGAATGGTCCAAAGAGGGCTCTCTAAAAGGTACATCTGGCTGGCAATCTGAGATCTGTGAGTAACCACTAGAAAAAAAGAAGTTTCTGCATTCCATGTCTGGGGCATCGACTGTAGTTCATTTAGTTTTAATTTCCGTTGTGAAGTGCTCTTCCCTTGCCCATTTTATATATTTTTGACTATAGCATTTTGAGAGGGACACAACGCTTTGCTATACACACAATTCAAGCCTCTACAAGAAAACCTTTCTAACCCTTGTTGAAAATATTGGGAACATGTCTCACCTGCTCAGACTGTGTCAGCTTCATGGCTTCAGAAAGATATGCTGTTAAAAGAAAAAACAGGCATGTTAATATGTGTCGCCGTTCTGTAATTAACAGGTAAAAGGAAGAGTTTTAATAATCCTCATATGACAAAGAGAACTGTTCTGATAAATAATTCTGATACAACTGGGGATTTTTTAAATAGAATTCTTAACTTCCCCCAAAAGGATGTCAGTGGCAATAAAATGAAAATATTCCCTACCCTATCTTGAAGGTTTTGTTATTTAAAACTCCTATGGATTTTATAATTCAGAAACTGAAGATAGCCTCATCGGAAAAATAGGTTTAGGGAAGATTAAAATCAAACAAGAACCTATCCAAACCCTATTACTCATTATATGCACAAAAACATCATGAGATTATCAATGACTTTTTATCCATCTGAATACCTGGAATCTACAGGAGTCATTTTGGACTCCTATAGAATCACTTCTAATGAATTGTCTCTGAGTTAAGCCATCAGCCTTACGGTTAAAAGCCCTAAGAGCGGATCACGAGGTCAGGAGATCGAGACCATCCTGGCTAACACAGTGAAACCCCGTCTCTACTAAAAATACAAAAACTTAGCCGGGCGAGGTGGCAGGCGCCTGTAGTCCCAGCTACTCGGGAGGCTGAGGCAGGAGAATGGCGTGAACCCGGGAGGCGGAGCTTGCAGTGAGCTGAGATCCAGCCACTGCACTCCAGCCTGGGTGACAGAGCGAGACTCCGTCTCAAAAAAAAAAAAAAAAAAAAAAAAAAAAAAAAAAGCCCGGCCGGGCGCGGTGGCTCAAGCCTGTAATCCCAGCACTTTGGGAGGCCGAGACGGGCGGATCACGAGGCCAGGAGATCGAGACCATCCTGGCTAACACAGTGAAACCCCGTCTCTACTAAAAAAATACAAAAAACTAGCCGGGCGAGGTGGCGGGCGCCTATAGTCCCAGCTACTCAGGAGGCTGAGGCAGGAGAATGATGTAAACCCGGGAGGCGGAGCTTGCAGTAAGCTGAGATCCGGCCACTGTACTCCAGCCCGGGCGACAGAGTGAGACTCCGTCTCAAAAAAAAAAAAAAAAAAAAAAAGCCCTAAGAACCTGTTGACATACTTACTGTGAGGAAGTTACTGAGGACAGTATAACGTCATTTATGAAGACCTTCAAAAAACTTCTCTGATCTTAGATCCTCGGTGACTATTTGTCTGAATTTTAATAGCCAATGTAAAAATTATTCTTTCCTCTTTAGGATGACTGCTAGAAAACTTAAGGCAAGTTCTTTAAAAAAATCCAAGAACTAATGGTACATTTTGTGAACTATACTACTAGTCCTTTCCCACTTTCTCTCTCTATGGATGTCCTTATCTATGCATCTTTAGTTACATTTGATATTTTATTATACATTCATCGGTAAGACATTTTATAACCTTTTGGGAACAAGGTTAGGTATAAATAACAAGTTCTGTATTATCAATGAATTGCCCATAATGAATCTCCATTTTTATCTTGCTTGTGTAAACATTTTTGGCATCTCTCATACCTATATTAAGTCCCTCTTTTGCCTTTTTGCAGATATGAGGCATTGCTTTCTGTCTAGTCTTAATCCAAATAATTTAATGATTTGATGTCATACCTTAAGAGTTCCTGCCTGCTAGGTTCTACCGTAGTCCTTAAGATACAATTATATCAGGGGTCCCAAACCCCCAGGCTGGTATTGGTCTATGTCTTGTTAGGAACTGGGCCACACACACAGCAGGAAGGGAGCAGCAGGCAAGCCAGTGAAGCTTCATCTGTATTTACAGCCACTCCCCACTGCTTGCATTACCACCTGAGTTCTGCCTCCCACCAGATCAGCAGCGGCACTAGCTTCTCATAGCACAAACCCTACTGTGAACTGCACATGCAAGGGATCTAGGGTGCACTCTCCTTATGATAATCTAATGCCTAATGATCTGTCACTGTCTCCCATCACCCCTAAATGAGACTATCTAGCTGCAGGAAAACAAGCTCAGGGTTCCCACTGATTCTACATTACATTGAGTTGTATAATTATTTCATTATTTCTATTATTACATTGTAAAATATAAAGTGCACAATAAATGTAATGTGCTTGAATCATCCTAAAACCATTTTCCCCACCTCAGGTCTGTGGAAAACTGACTTCCACAAAACCAGTCCCTGGCAGCAAAAAGGTTGGGACTGCTGAATTAGATGCTCCCTCTCCAGGAAAAAGGAGAGCTGGGACCAGGTGCAGTGTAGCACTTTGGGAGGCCAAACAGGAGGATTGCCTGAGCCCAGGAGTTCCAGACTACACTGGGCAACATAGCGAGACCCTGTATCAATTTGAAAAGAATTAAAAGAAAAAACAGAGTTGGTTATATAGTCTTTGCTCCAGCCATGCTTACCATAATTACATCCTTCCCACAACACTTTGTCTTTTTTTCCTGTAGTAAGTCTGTACAGCTGCATACTAGTTTCTTTTCCTTTTGTTCATGTTTAAATCTGTGGAGATGGATGGGTGCGGTGGTTCACACCTGTAATCCCAGCACTTAGGGAGGCCGAGGCTGGTGGATCGCCTGAGGTCGGGAGTTCAAGACCAGCCTGGCCAGCATGGTGAAACCCCAGCTCTACTAAAAAAAAAAAAAAAAAAAAGAAAAAGAAAAAAAAATTAGCTGGGCGTGGTGGCAGGCGCCTGTAATCCCAGCTACTAGGGAAGCTGGGGCAGGAGAATCGCTTGAACCCGGGAGGTGGAGGTTGCTCTGAGCCAAGATCATGCCATTGCACTCCAGCCTGGGTAATGGAGCGAGACTCCAAAAATCTGCAGAGACATTCTGTCTGCTCTGCTATTGCTCTGATACACTGTAGACAAATTTTCTTAGACATCCCTTCCATCTTGCCTGCGTGTATTTGTCTCCCTGTTTGAACTACAGTTTGCTTTAAATCCACTTTTCTTAACAAACGAATAGTTTTCACAAAACCAAGCTTTAGCCAACTGAAATGCCTCCCCACTTTGTAGAACCTTGAAATTGCATACGACAAAGGAGGCTACCAAAGGAGATCCCAAAGCACAAAGAATACAACAAGAATCACACTGTCATTTAAAGTATTCCCCACATTTAAATCTTATAAATGGGGCAGTTTAAAGTTATTTTTAAAGAAGAAAAATTATTTTAAATCTGATTCCATGTTTATGGATTTCTTCCACAGACTCACAATAGATACAAAAGTACAGCAACACAGAAATGTAGAAAAAGAGTACCTATCTCAAAAACTGCTAACAATTCTGGTTAAACTACTTCCTTTAATTATGATACGAGGCTAAAATGTAAAGTAGATATTAAGTAAATGATACAATAAAGGAACTAAGGAAATCTGAAGAATGTCTTAAAATAATAACATCTGGCCAGGCGCAGTGGCTCACGCCTGTAATCCCAACACTTTGGGAGGCCGAGGTGGGCGGATCACTTGGTGTTAGGAGTTAGTTTGAGACCAGCCTGGCCAACATGGTGAAACCCTGTCTCTACCAAAAAATACAAAAATTTGCCGAGTGTGGTGGCGCACGCCTGTATTTCCAGCTACTCGGGAGGCTGAGGCAGAAGAATCACTTGAGCCTGGGAGGTGGAGCTTGCAATGAGCTCAGATCATGCCATGGCACTTCACCCTGGGTGACAGAGCAAGACTCAGTCTCAAACAAAAACCAAAAACCAAAAAATAATAACATCTATTACTCTTCTATCAGGAATCTGTTAAACTGGTCCCAAAGCATAGAAAGTACAGCAATATACTGCCTCTGAATAAGGATAGAATCATTTTCATGTTACCACAGTTTCAAAAGGCTTAGGTTAAGATTTGTTTTCAAACAAAATATTGATCAAATCCATACAAATACCGTGTACTCTGGGGCCTGCTCATCTTCTGACATGCTCATTTTGAGTTCTAAGCACTGTTAATGGCTATTAACTTATTTAAGGTTTTGTTCTTCTGTTGTGTATGAAAGAAGAGAAATTCACTTAGGGATGTGCTTATCTGGCAAATGAATGCTCACATGCTCAGTTTCATTTAATTTGGCCATTCATTGTCCACCTCAAGAGATCCTACCTTTCCTCAAAAGGAAAGAGACATCAAGCAACTTCTTATTTCAGCACATTTACAATACAACCACCACAAAGAGGCTATAAAGTCCTTAGCTAGGTAATCTCAGGGTATGTTTTTAGTCTCAGAATCTCCTCTGATCTTTGACAGCTGGACACCCAGGCCCCCTCTGTTTGCCCTTAAATTCTCTCATTTCAGCCTTTCCTTCCTATTAGTCTTTCTCAGATGTTGATCTTTTCTTGCCTCATCTCTAAAATGATTTCCAAATAAGTTGCTTCCTTACAGAATACACCTACATCCATACCTTTCAACACCAGTTATAAGCCCTAGAGATGCAAGTCAATTTCAAAAAGCGAGCTCATTTCAACCACGTCAATTTTCAACTCCATTCTAAAACACAAGTTGAAACCCCCAATCAACCCAGTGGGATTTACTGATCACATTAAGTTCTATCTCTATAATTTAAGCTAATGTGATCTAACAGATTGTCTTATTTTTCTACTCCTGAGAATGTCACAGAATTTAGACTGGGGGTGGGAAGTGGTTAATTGAAGCCCAACATCAGTTTTAAGTCTTCAAAGACAAGGATTAGGTTACGACTAAAACTTCCTTCTTTTTATATATTCATAACATCCCATAGCTCAGTGCATAACATATGCTGATTCACTCCACTTAACATATGTTATATATATGTAACCATGACCATTTTGGGTTACATAAGGTATTGTTTCACTGGGGCATCCACATAAAACATGGTTTTCTTAAATAGTTAAACACAGTACGTCGTCTTTGTAGTGACTACAGATTTAACAATCTGATTCATAACAAAATATGGTTTAGGAAAGATTTAAAGAGCACTAGTTGACATGTTTAACACTGTACAAAGCCCTCTCACCATAAAAACACCCAAAGATTTATGGGATATCTACTGTATGCTCGGACCT